CGAGCACACAATTGGTTGGTTGGTTCCAATGCCACTTGCCAAACGGGCAAGCCTGCTTGGTGAAACCGAGCAAATTTAAGGACGAGTATGGGTTTCTTGTTTTTCAGTGGCGCCATCTATGGTCAAGAATTTCGACTTCTGCCACATCAGAACCTCACACCTGTTTATAAGGCGGACCCATTCATACATCCATTCAGTCATCCACAGATCGTAATTTTGACCTGAATCATAGAACGATCGGTCTCCAATCCAGTACCCCCAGAGGTATTGATTTGTTATGGGAACATGGAGGACTTTGCGACTCGACAGAATTTTAACGTGCTTCAGTCACCAATTACACGGAGAGTCTTCGGCCGGCGGGGTTCGAACCCACAAACTCTCGGACATGGGCCCAGTGCCCTGCCGACCAGGCTATCCCGGCCCTCACGAGCACATAATATCTTCTAAAAATGAAAAATTTACTTATAGATACGAAATACAAAAATTAAGCACTTCAGTATTTTTTATTTTATTCTTTCTTTTTTTCTTACTTGGATTAAAAAAGTTTTACTAAATTGCGGAAATAAGAATGTTAGTCTAAATAGCTTTTTTTTCTTTTACCAAAAAATCGAATATCTGTTATTGAAAGAGGCAAAATTAATTTATGTAATTAAACGCAGCGGGAGATAGATAAATTAGGAAATCACATAAAAACATACAGAAGAGCTCGATATAACAAGTACGGCGTATTGCGATTTATCCGTTATTCAGACTAATTCACGATCAAAAACCGAGAATTACAGTTACTCGCTGTTAGGGAAAATAGTATATTTTCCTGTTGTTTAAATAATTACTGAGTCCCGCAGTGGACTGATCGCTAAGACACGGTTCCCAGCAGATCACCGAAGTCAAGCATCACTGGCTGCGGTCAGTGTGCGGGTGGGTGACCACTTGGATCAGTCTGCGTAGGAACCGAGGGTGTGCGGTCAGGGCTAAAGAGAATAGAAGGGCTAGTTCACTCCACTCTTAGAACTGAAGCTACGATTTCCCTCCTCATGACGTCACTGTGTCCACAGATCTCGGAGATCGCAAGCAAAGATATGATAACTTTGCATCTTTCTCTTTGTAAAAATAAGTTAGACTTTTTCCGGTTATTAGCCTTTAAACTTTACGTAATTAACACATTATTTCCGTTCATAAACATAGTTCAAAAAAAACTTTCTTGGTTATTATATTAAAAAAAATACCATTTTAAACTTATAAAAATGTTTTGCTAGTTGGTGAAAATGACACGATAAATACTTTATTTTAAAAAGTTCAGTTTTAACTTTAACTATTAAGAAAAATGAAGGCATATATCGACACTTTTTTTATCTACATATTCTTTTATAAAGATAAGTTAAGTTAAATTTAGAATCCCTGA